AGAAACATTGATGAGAGAGAAACATCCATCAGCTGCCTCCTGCACACTCCCCACTGGGGTTGTGCCTGCAACCAAGGTACATGCCCTTGACTGGAATCGAACCCAAGACCCTTCAGTCCACAGGCTGACGCTCTATCCACAGAGCCAAACCGGTCAGGGCTAGAAATCAGGATTTTAAAAAGATTCCCAGGTGATTATAATGTGCAGCCAAGGTTGAGAACCACTGCTTTAGACAAGGGGCAGCTTCTGCCCAAGATGTTAGAGTAGGACCTCTTTCTCTTCTTCTCATTTTCTATAGACCCTTGGTTGTTATCCACATACAGTAGTAATTTTTATCTTATTCCCCCCTCCTTAAATAATTGTTAGTCAGAATATATTTATTTTAATGCCATTCTTAAATTATCTCTAATAGTAGCCACTGCCCTCAGTCTAACTGACTGCTGGATATGCCATGCATCACTGGACTCCATTATAAAACCCCTGGGCAATTCTAATCTCTTCTAATGAAACCACAAGGAGATATAGCTGATGGCATTTCTACTTGCACCTACATGGAAAGATGATATTAAACAAATCAACCGGTAAATTACTTTACCAGTATCCATCTCTCCAATTATTACAATCTACTGATCATACCCTATATAATTCTAAGTTATATTTTCACAGCCATTTTAGGACAATGGGCCAAATACTTGCCATGTGGAAGAGACTAATAGAGATCCGAATATGTAGCCAAACTGATGCAAGGCCTTGGTTCTGACCTCATGTCATGATTGCCTCCTGTTCCCCCAGATCTCTGCGTGTGCCTGCTGAGTACTACTTCCTTCGTGACCAAAACGTCCAGCTCTGTTTGCTTCAGACTCTGCCAGATGTAAGTGGTGGCTGACTCCCTGGCTATACATCAGGCTCTGAATAAATAGTCGTTGCTCGTGCCTATGCGGGTGGTCTTCATCTCTTTTATCGGCAGTGCTGCCTAATCAAAAGGTTTTCTTCCACGAACCTTTTGGAATCTACTAGACTTGTGCTCCATAGGGTGTGACTCAAACTCTTATATTAACATTTATCTTTTTCATTCCAGGAATCCTATGCAAGATGCCCAGACTTCAAAATTCTACCACAACTGAGCTGTGCTGTTCCCTTTCAACATACGATTTAACTTATTTTACAGAAACAACACCAACAAAAGTCTCAGAAAGACTATTAATCAGATCCTGCTTCGTCTTGCTCAGGAGTTTTATACTCGTCTCTTAGTTGTTTAGGAACCTATTGTATTCATTAATATGGAACAAAAGGAAGGGCTGATAATGTTGAACTTTACCTAAGGTCTGTGTCACTAGAAAACAAGTGATGCTTAAGAAATGCTTAGGGCTGGGAAGGATGGGGGATGGGCAGGGGATGGGAGGGGTAGCAATCATATATTTTTTTCTTGATGTGTTGAGAATGTTCTAAAATTGATTGTGGCGATGGTTTCAAATTTGTGAATAAAAATCATTGTAAGATCTTTGTTAAGGCCTCAGAAGTATTGAAGGTGGTGCCTAGTAGACCCTCTCATGTAGACCAACGGGCTTCTAATGATCCTTTGTATCCTCATAGGCAGCCAGAATTAGATGCAGGTTCAACTCAAAAATAATTATGGATGTGGCTTTGGAATACAGAGTGAACTGCTCATCAGATTCCTAGAAAATCCACAAAATTTTAAAGAGAATCACATTGGTGAAAATGCTGGCAGCTTGAATTCAAAGGGACAAAGTTCAGAACTGGCTCTCAACTTCTTATGCTCAGGAAACTGGCTTCCAAAGAGCTAAACATCTGCAAACATGGCTCATTTGTTTCCCGTAGTTTTTAACAGCTTGATTGAGATCTGATTCATACACCACACAACTCACTCATTTAAACGCACGAGGACAAATAAAACATTATTAAAACGAATCTCGCATGTTCTCAAAATTTTGAATGTGGCTGCTAGAAAACTTACAATTTTCATATTTGCTTTTATTGACAAAATAAAATCTCGAGGATATTTTTATTTCTTACACAAAATTACAAAGCCCAAACTTTGACCTGCCATGTGACCGAATGATCTTCATCCAGAAAAAAACTCCTTGATGGCTTTCTGACTTTTAAATTGTTAGCTGCCATCGACTCTTCTTGATGTGCTGGTCCCAGCCTAGGGTCTGCGAGGCCTGTTCACACATTTGGAGGGAGTGAGGCTGTGGATGGGAAGCAGTGCCTTCCAGATGCGGCACTTGAGGCTGATTAGAAGCCTCTGCTTGACTGGCCTGTTTAATCAAGCCTGGCAGCCATTTATTGCTTGCTTGACTAAAACGTGCTGGATATTATTGCTGTAAAGAACCTTTCTCCATCAGCTCTTTCCAGAGCTTAGAATTATCTCCAGGGCCATGCAGATTACCTGTGTGTGTGTATATATAGGCCAGGGCTGAAACGGGAGGGAGAGATGGGTGGGAAGAATAACGCTGAGAAATGTGAGCGCTCCGAAGTGGCCCACACCTGTTCATGGTGTCAGAGTGTCACTCTCTTCGGGGAGCCTGGAGTTCAACCCTTGCAGAGGGGGGCTGTGGGCCTCGAAGGCATGTAGGAATGACAGAAGAAGCAGTCCTAAAAGGGCATGTGCCCACAATGTACTAGAATATAATTTTTAAAAATTTCCCCTTCCAAATTAACCCCACACTAAATGTCTGCATTTCCTCACTTATCCAACATTTACCCAACACAAGACACAAGCTCACGGATTGAAGGTAGATGGATGGAAAAGGGAGGAATGAAGGACGAAGGCTGGGTTTCTGGCTGGAGCAACCCCCTGTGGTGCTATTTTTGAGAAAGATTCAGATCTGAGGTCGAGGAGCTGGAAATGAAGAGGGCCGCTGTGTACATGGACATTTGGAGAACCCTATGGTACATTCACATGCGCTGGTGGTGTGGATGCCTGGTCCCCTCCAGAACACAATGTATCACTCTCTCTTGAGTGACGCTCTGGCTTGGGTATTCTTTTACTCTTCCTAGATGACCCGTCAGTGTAGCCAGCCTTGAGAACGCTGGTGCTGACTGTGGTGCTGCCGTGTGATCTGGAAGATGGTTGGACAAACAGGTTTTAGAGCAGCGGTTCTCAACCTGCTGGTCTCGACCCCTTTGGGGGCCGAACGACCCTTTCACAGGGGTTGCCTAAGACCATCGGAAAACACATATATAATTACATATTGTTTTTGTGATTAATCACTATGCTTTAATTATGTTCAATTTGTAACAATGAAAATACATCCTGCATATCAGATATTTACATTATGATTCATAACAGTAGCAAAATTACAGTGATGAAGTAGCAACGAAAATAATTTTATGGTTGGGGGTCACCACAACATGAGGAACTGTATTAAAGGGTCGTGGCATTAGGAGGGTTGAGAACCACTGTTTTAGAGGCAAAGAAGGGCCTTTCCATTTTGGACATGTGAAAAAGAGGACATGCAGGGGCTGAACGGAGATTCGGGAATCCGGAATTCTAGCCTCTGCTCTGCAACCTTCCAGAAGCGCCTTCCCATTCTAGCCTTATTTCGCTCACCTGTAAAAGGAAGAGATTGGACTAAATGAGCCATCCCTTCTAGTGGTCGGCAAACTGCAGCTTGCGAGCCACGTGCGGCTCTTTGGCCCCTTGAGTGTGGCCACAAAGTTTCAATCGCACTGTACGTGCGCGCCTACACGTGGTATTTTGTGGAAGAGCCACACTCAAGGGGCCGCATTTTGCCGACCACTACCTTAGCCAACTGCTCCCTACATGTCTGGGATCCCCAGTCTTTGACAATATACTCTGAGTGGTACACAGATTTGAACCCCTGTGCTACCATCCCCCACTGGATACATTACTCAACTTCTCTAGCGATTGGTTTCCTTAGCTGGAAAAAGTATATGAAATGTACCTGTCGTCTGAGTCATTATAAAGATTAAAGAAATGAATACCTGTTACTTAGTTTGATGACTCTCACCTGAAAGCTGGTCAATAAAAATAACTATGATTATTATGTTCCTTTATGTTCTTTTTATTTAACTTGTTATCCCAGAGTTCCAGAGAAATCGAGAGAAGAGCCCATAGAAAGAAGACATAGTTGATTTTACACGTTTGGCTAATTTCTCTATAGGTTCACATGGCCCTATTCCCCCCCTGCTTGAACGAAAAGAGAGATTACAAAAACCTCCACAGTCAACAGAGCTAATTATCATTCATTTTCCACCCTCAGAATCTTTAGTGCAGTGTTTGAATAATGGCATCATCCCTAGGAGCTTTCCAAAGCATTTTCTGGATGAAATCTTTATTTACAAAAGGGGAAAATAAGTCTCCCGTAAGAACACACGACTTCATTTGGAAAGGACAACAGCGCTAATTGTTTTATTCACTTGTCACAATTTCACCATCCCCAAACTTGCCCGGAAACACATCTTTCTGTCAGGAAACCCTGCTGCCAGAGAGCTTGTTTACACAGTTTGCAAAGATGGAAACAGAAGATGAGCATTTATTGTGCTAAGCCCTGCGCTGTGCTTTGTCCACTAAATTTTAACAGCCAGGCAGCACTTCGAAGGCACTGACTTCGTTGAGCCCTTTAAAGTCTATTTTAGTATATGTAATGGGTGCTGGGTGCATGCACAGATACTTCGTTATTCCATACCTTTTCCTGTGTCTGAAATATTTCATAATGCCTTTTGCTTTGGCAACAGTATCTGCTGTATGACGTCAATCTTGCAAAGAACTCTGCTGCATCCTGGGGCTACATTCAGTCCCCTTTGTACCTTATTTTAGCTTTCCACACATACAGGGTGTCCCAAAAAAGTATACACACACATTGATTAATTATAAAGGCAGTGTTCATTAAAATATATTTCATTTTCAAAATTGAGCTGTCAGCTATTAAAGTGTGTATACATTTTTGGGGGTTACCCTGCATTTATGTTGGGAGATATATGCTAAATTGTGTTGTATTTTTCAGTAAAATTTTCCCATTATTCTTTTAAAAAAATCCCAGTTGTTCAAGGAGGAGAAGAAAAGAGGGTTTTATTAAAATATTTTTCTCATAATTTAAAATTTCTTATTAATATATAAGAAACATAAAACTATTTTTATATATAGAAATATAGAGTATCTCTATTTATAAAAGGCTAAGTGACTGACCCTCTGTCCTAAGACTGACCGACCAGCCAGTACATATGACGTGCACTGGCAATTTAAAAATAAACGTTGACTCACGCATGCACGATATCTGTCCCTGTCTGACAATGGCCTCCCATTTAAATTAATTCAAAGACAGTTTCCTGTGATGCCAGCATTTGTGATGACTATTAATAAATAACAAGGACAAACTCTAGACAGAGTAGGAATATTCCTACTTGAACCCATTTTCGGACATGGTCAGTTACATGTTGCTTTCTCTCAAGTTCGAGGAGTGTGTGATGTTAAAGTTAAAGTTGTAAATACTTCATCACAAGAGAAATTAGTCAAGCGCTCTGAAAGTGTTTTTACTCTTAATGTGGTATACAGGGAGATATTAGAATAAGTTTAATCAATTTATCATTCATTGTTTTTATCAAAGTTGTTTTTATATCATGTTTTTGTTGTCTTATATCATGTCTTTGTTGTTGTTATATCATGTCTTTGTTGATATATCATGTTGTTATTGTTCATTTATTAATCAATTTATATATTATTTTCATATACATTTTACTAATTTTCTTTCATCTCTGACACTTCTATTATAGAGAAAGGGCAAATAGCGATATTAAAATATTTCTTCTAATTACTTTCCTTTCAATGTGCACAAATCTGTGCACCAGGCCACTGGTATAAAACATAAAAATAGACTATAGAAATATTTTTATTATTTATTATTTTTATTTTTTGTTAATCCTCACTGGATATTTTTTCATTGATTTTTAGAGAGAGTGGAAGGGAGGGAGACAGAGAGAAACACTGATGTGAAAGAGACACATCGATTGGTTGCCTCCCACACAAGCCTGGACCAGGATTGGGGATCGAGCTTGCAACTGAGGTATATATGTTCCCTTGACCAAATCAAACCCAGGACCCTTCAGTCTTTGGGCCAAAGCCCTATCCACTGAGCCAAACCTGCTAGGGCTATAGAAATATTTTTAAAAAGTCATGAGTAAATCTTTGGAACAATAACCCATGTGAAGCTTCCTGGTTTCATAAGAAGAGCTAAAAAGAAAAGTTTTGGCTTTTTTTCCTGTAATGTTTTTCCTTCTTGCATCCTTTGCTCCCTCATGCAAA